CTCCTCCCCTCCCCTCCCCTCTCCTCTCCTCTCCCCTCCTCCCCTCCCCTCCCCTCCCCTCCCCTCCCCTCCCCTCCCCTTCCCTTCCCTTCCCTTCCCTTCCCTTCCCTGGCCACCCATTCACACACCTCTGGGCAATTCACAAGAGTTAAAACAAACAATATAGTCAATTAAAAGTGATCATGCTGGAAAAGAGGTAGGAACCACAGCCAAAAAGTGACAGGCAACTTCAGTCTCATAGGTGGGTTCACACAACATCCCAGCCCAGGGCTTGTGGAAAGGGCTTTGTCTTTAAGTCTCTGTTGAAGGACAGCAGGGTTGGGGCCAGATTCCTCCCTGACGGACAGCTGCCCAGTCTCGGCTTGAAGACATCTGACAAAGAGGACCTCTCTTGGTCCTTGGCTCCACAGTCCGAGTGTTCTTGCTGTTAAGAGGCTCTTTTCAAGTCTTGTAATGGGATCTCTCTTCTTGTAACTTCAGCCTGGGGGTTGCAAACTCTCTGTTGTGAAGGTCGTGGTTGAAAAATCTCTCCTCCGAAATTGTTTTTGCTTCCTTTTGTCCACCTGACTCCTTCTTGCAGAACCCCTTCCATCTCCACATGGATCGATGTGGTGACTTTGAGACTCTCCTGGACTTGCTGGTCACCATCTTCCACGCCAACAGTTGGCAAGATGTCACCCTGGTTTTGTGCCAAGCGTGGGACGCCTCCGGCTTCATGGACCTCTGGACCAGCCACACCAACCTTGAGAAGACAGTTGTGGTGGACTTGAGCTTCCTTGATGAGAGAGAAGCAGCTCGCCACCTTCGGCGGCACTTGGAGGAATACCGTGAATTGCCCAGCCCAGCTTTGCTTTTTGGCTGCAATGCCCGACTCTCCCAGCTCGTCTTCCGGATGGCAAAAGAGCTAGGAGTAACTCAGCAGTTCCACTGGATTCTGGGGCAACCCCAGAACGTGGATGAGCTCCAGACGGAGGGGCTGCCCCTGGGTCTCTTGGCCTTTGGGGAGGTGGACAGGCCCTCCCTGGAATACTTTATCCAGGACGCAATGGAGCTGGTGTCCCGTGCCATTTCTCGAGCTGTCTACGTCCGACCTGACCTCGCCCTCATCCAGAGCATGGTGAATTGCAATGACAAACACGTTGTAGACTCTGAGTCCTCTGGGCTCTACCTTTCCCAGTGAGTAAGCTGCTCCTGATAGCTGATTTTTGGATACATAGGAGTAATAGTTCCCCCTTCTCCCAGCATACACACATTTCTCTGTATATACTTGGCAAGGCCACTCATATACAATGGACATCCTTCTTTAAGGAAAAGGAATTCTGCAGGGACTCATTCAGAGGTGCAACAGGCAGGCATCCCTGAGGCTTCTTGTTAGATTGTGCTTCTATATTTTCACCAGGTCTGCATGTAAGAAATTAAATTGGGTTGGGTAATTATGGTAGCATGAAATTAGAATTATGAGGGATGAAATCCCAGCTAATTTAGAAGGCACCAAGTTTATATGCAAAGTGCATCTAAACCAAATGTGTCAACCTCAAATAGAAATGGGGCCCACTAAAAATTTAGGAATCCTAAAAATAGGATTCCTACAGGCTGCATATTGACTTTGAAAACCACACATTTATGTCTTTCTTTTTTTATTAATATATCAACACAATAATCAGATAGGAACCAGATATAACTAAAACATAAAAAAGAAACATTATTATTATGAATTTGACAATTTGTTTTCAATATTTATTTGTATTTATGTGTATTTATATATATGTGTGTATGTGTGTGTATATACTATACTGTACTACACACACACACACAGGTAGACCTTGCTTAACAACTGCCCTATTTAGTGACTGTTCAAAGTTATGATGGCATTGAAAAAGTAACTTTATGATTGGTCCTTGCACTTATGACCATCACAGAGCCCCTGCAGTCATGTTACTGAGATTCGGGCACTTTACAACCGGCAAGTGTTTACAACCGTTGCACCATCCCATAGTCACAATCACCTTCTGACGAGCAGAGTCATTAGAGAAGCTGGCAGTAAAATCGCAAGTCGCGGTCACGTGATGTCTTGCTTAACCACCACAGTGACTCGCTTAATGACTGAATGGGAAGTGACATCATAAGTCCATCATGGTGATGTGCTGTTTTGCTTAGTAACTGTGTTGCTTTGCAAAGAAATTACTAGTCCCAACTGTGGTCACTAAGCAAGGACTACCGGTATACACACGTGCACGGCCACACACACCACCTACTCCCACTTATCACCTCCCTGCAACGTTCCCTCTATTTTCTGACATCCCATGTGTGAAAAAAAAATGTTTTGTGTGGCTTTTCCAAAACCAAATACAAGTGTGTATGCCACAATACTAGAATATGAGTATATTGCAAATACATGTAATAGTGACATGTTAAAATATTTACTTATTTCTTAGTTAAAATACAGAAACTAGAAATTATAACAGTATGTCAGATACACGCTTGAAAGTTGTGCCTTCAAAGTGATTTTGGACTCCTGGCAACTACCCCCGTGCTTTTCTTTGCAGCATTTTTGAGAAGTGACTTGGCACTTCTTTCTTCCTAGGGGAGAGAAATGTGACTACCCCAAGGTCACCCTACTGGCTTCATGCCCAAGGCAGGGCTAGAACTAACCAACTTATGGTTTCTAGTCTGACACCTTAACCACTACACCAAGCTTTTTTCATATACAGTTTATAACATAAACTCACTAGTCACTAGTGACTGGTAACTGCAATCAATATTTTGTAAGCATTTAATTTCTCTCCCTCCCTCCTTTCCTTCCATCTTTCTGTCTTTTGAAATTTGATATTGTAATGAAAGAAAAGAAATTAAAACAGAAAAAAGATAGGAAAGCATTTTACAAAAAGCATTAGCATCACCTCCTCTCTTTCATTTTTTCCCCATTCTTTCCTTCTTCTCTCAATGTATACCGAACTTAATTAAACTTTAATGATTATTAATTTAAAAATTGAAAGTTTCATAAAGTTAACCATGATCGTGGGCCTTGTGCAGCCTGAAACACAACATATATTAATTAAACCTTTTTTGGAGGGAGAAGAGAAATGAGTTCGACTTCTTTGGGAGAGAACAATTAAAATTAAACCTTTTTTTTTGAAGGGAGGAGAGAATTTAAGCCTCTTTTTGGGCGGGGGGGGAGGGAAATTAATTCAGCCTGTTTTGGAAAGAGATATCCTTTGTGCATTGGAGGCTCTGAAGTCAAGAGCAGGTCATTGACCAGTGCCAGGCTGCCTGCCCGACGTCCCAGGAAAGGGGCACAGCCTTGCTGCCTCCGCTTACAGGTAGGTCTCGATTAGTGCTGATAGCAAATCCCACGAAATGGTCACGTTATTCGAATTTGCACTATTCAAAGTGATATTTCTATGGAAAATAGAGCAATTGGTTCGATGGAAATAGGCAATGAACATTTTTAAACATAATTAACAGTAAAAGTTTAAAAGAATATACAGAAGTTACAATGGCGCTGAATGAGGGGACTTACCGCTGTTCCTCGTAGTTGTGGCCGTTGCAGCGTCCCCACGGTCATGTGATTGTGATTTGGACAATTGGCATCTGGCTTGCAGTTACGATGGTCTCAGTGTCCCATGGTCATGTGATCACCATTTGCAACTTCACTGCTAGCTTCTGACAAGCAAAGTCAGGAGGTTGGACGTGACCACGGGATCCTGTGACTGCGTGGGATTCACCTGACAACGGCAACTGGGACGGTCGCAACTGAGGTTGTAAGTCGGCATAGTCACATGACATTACGGCCTCATTGCTTAGCACCTGAGTTGACGGTCCCAGTTACCATCCTTAAGCAAGGACTACTTGTATTTACAACTTACATTTATTTTTAACAAAGTCACGGAATACAGTCGTTATAAAAAGCAAAAGAAAAACAAAAAAATTCTAAATATCATTCCTGTCTATCTTCTAGATAGATGGATCTCATAAATATTTAAAATAAATAAATCAAGTGAAACAAAGGCCAGCAGATTGGAGGATAAACCCATATCCAACGTATTCCGCTGTATTTCTTCAAAACGAGCCTCTTCTTTTTTTCAGCGTTCCTTGAACAGAACCTTCCTCTTCTCCATTTTGCACACACAGCGATTAGCATCTGAAACCCCAATGGCAACTGTGCATGCACTAGCCGCACATTAACTGAATTTTGGCTTGCATTAAACCCAACTGGGCATCAATGTACAATTCGCACTAAATCGAATATCGTACTATTCGAACTCGCACTAAACGTGACCGGCCCGTAATTGTAGCAGCAAGGTTGCTTTGCTGCTGCTGCTGCGGTTCATGCTTCTGTCACCTGCTCGGCGAACTCTGCTCTGCAATTCAGCTCAGGCAGCAAGCTTGTGCAGGACTCCTCGCGAGTTGCAAGTCCAGTGTTTTGGCAACTGGTGGCTAAATTTATTATTTAGCTTTAAAATGTAATATTGTCTATGCTTTGTTGTATTTTTATTTTGTTTTCTTAAATATTACCCAACGGCATTTTCATCTGGTTCGGGCCGTGTGTTTGACACCCTTGATCACAACCACGGTAGAGGCTTCCACCGGTTAGCAGCTGAATGGAGCGGAGTGTTTTAGAAATTCAAGATTCCTAATTTTCTCTCTCCTTACTTCCAGCTTTTTAGCTAACACATCTTTCCGTGGCCAGACAGGCGAGGTCTTTGTGCGCAACGCATCTCACGTCCACACTGACCATCGCTACAAAATCTGGAGCCTGCTGAGGGATTCGGTGGGCCAGCCCACGTGGGTGACCGTGGGGAGCTGGAAGGGGGGCGAAATGGAGGCGGAGGAGGGCAGCTGGCCGCAGCATCTGCAGCGCAAGAACCAGGCCGAGGGCGGGGGCTTCTCGCGCATGAAGCTGCGGGTGGTGACCTTGGTGGAACACCCATTTGTCTTCACCCGGGAGGTACGTAGGTGCATCGGAGACATGGCACCAGCGGAGCAGAGCTGAATGTCTTACAAATGTTTCTCTTTTAAAAAATATAAAATTGTGCAATGTATAACAGCCTTCTGTCAGCTTGCCACTCTACAGATGTGCTGATTGTCGCATCCATCATCCACATACAGAAGATCAGATTGGCTGGGAACAATAGATGTTGTAGTCCTGCATAACCAAAAAGAGCCAGATAGAAAACATATGTATACTTTCTTTTTCTGCATTGGTATCTGGTGCAAACGGTGATATGACCCCAAAACATGATAAAAGAGGCATCAGAGTATCACGGTGCAAACTCTAGTCTTTCAGACATGCATCCCAACATTGCACACAAATACATACAGGTAGTCCTTGCTTACCGACCACTCATTCAGCAACCGTTCAAAGTTGTGACAGAACTGAACGAGTGGTACTTACGACTGGCCTTCAAAGTTCTGGCTGTTGCGCCATCCCCGCAGTCACGTGATCACGATTCGGACGCACGCTTCGGACGGTTGTAGTGACTTGCAGTCACGTGATCGCTATTTGTGACCTTCCCTGCCAGCTTCCCACAAGCAATGTCAATGGGGAAGCTGGCAGGGAAGATTGCAAGTTGCTCCAGTAAGTACTCCTGGCCTCCCTGCAGTGCCACTACCACCTTGCCCCAGCCTCCCTGTGCTCGCACGGTGCCACACCCTGCTTCCCCTGGCCTCCCAGCACTCATACACAGCCTGTGTCAGGCCCCCCAGGGCCTCCCCATCCCCCCATGGCACCCCCCCATGGCATCCCCACGCTCCTTACCTGGAACTCCCACCACTTCCTGCTTAACAACCCATGCGTCTTGAGGTTACAACGGCAACCAGAACTGCCAGAATTATCACTAAGTGATGTGGTCGTGTGACATTGTGCTTTACAACCGCATCGCTGAGCAATGGCAATCCCAGTCCCAACTGCCATAACCTGAGGACTACCTGTATGGTAGCCTTCAATGTTTACATTTAAGGAAAAACTTCCTGACAGTAAAATCTTTACAGCAGTGGAAAAGTCTATATTTGGAGGTAGTGGGTTCTCCATCACTGGAGATTTTGAAGAGGCTGGATAGCCACCTTTCAAAGAAGAGTTAATTAATTTTCCTGTATATTACAGAGGGTTGAACTAGATGATCTTTGGAGTCCCTTCTAGCTCTACGATTCTATAATTCTCTGATTAGTTCCTTCTTGCTCCTATTCTGCGGTTGTAAAGAACCACCCGTGGTGGTTCTTCCTGCTGAATCTTTTTACAAAAAATGCACAAGGCAAGCATTTGAGGAGGGAGGTTACTCAAATTAACACGCAAGGCAGCTTACACAACCCCCTGTACACACAATGCCTTGCCTCGCATTCTGGGCAGAACTCAGGGGCATCCAGGGGAGGGTGTCAAAAAGGTCAAGATGGCAGCCGTGTGTAATGGGCAGAAGGAATAACCCTGAGGAGAGGAGGCAGAGCCGTAAGCAAAACAGCAGTCAGATAAGAGAAATCTGAATCCAAGGCAGAAATGTAATCTTTTTACTTTTACTTTACTTTTGTGACCTCTCCTGCAGATGCCCCATTTAACCTCGGTATCTTAGCTAATTTGTGGCATTTCTCATTCTAATTTTGAAGTGCAGCTTTAAAAGTTTCCCCTTTTGAGTGACCTTCCACCTGGTAGATAGGCCTTTAATTCCCTAAATCCAGTTGCAGGGAGCTGGGATCTACAGATTTGGAGGGTGTCAGGCTGGAGAAGGCTGAACTACATGCTTCTTCTGTTCAGCCACTTTTATCTTCTGCTTTATATTTAAAAAGTGTTCATTGGTGCTCTTTCCAGGTAGATGAAGAGGGCAACTGCCCAGCTGGACAACTGTGCCTAGATCCTCACACCAATGACTCCTCTGTGCTCGACACCCTCTTTGAGGAGCTGAACTCAGAGAATGGCTCTGTGCCGGTGGACTACCGAAAATGCTGCTATGGCTATTGCATCGACCTCTTGGAGAAGCTGGCTGAAGACTTGCCCTTTGACTTTGACCTCTACATTGTGGGAGATGGAAAGTACGGGGCCTGGAAAAATGGGCGTTGGACGGGGCTGGTGGGAGATCTGCTGAGTGGCACGGCCCATATGGCAGTGACGTCCTTCAGTATCAATTCAGCCCGGAGCCAGGTGATGGACTTCACCAGCCCTTTTTTCTCCACCAGCTTGGGCATCCTGGTGAGGATCCGGGACACAGCATCGCCCATCGGGGCCTTCATGTGGCCACTGCACTGGACCATGTGGGTGGGCGTCTTTGTGGCCCTCCACATGACAGCCCTCTTCCTCACCTTGTATGAATGGAAGAGCCCCTACGGCATGACCCCCCATGGTCGCAACCGCATGAAGATCTTCTCCTACTCCTCAGCCCTGAACCTCTGCTATGCCATCCTTTTTGGACGCACTGTCTCCAGCAAGACACCCAAATGCTGGACTGGCCGTTTCCTCATGAACCTCTGGGCCATCTTCTGCCTCTTAGTCCTTTCCAGCTACACAGCCAACTTGGCCGCAGTGATGGTGGGCGAAAAAACGTTTGAAGAACTCTCTGGGATTCATGATCCCAAGGTTGAGCAGAGACTTTCCTTCTGTGCTCCTTGCCCTTCTTTCACAGCGTCCTGCCTTGTCTCCCTATCTTACTCAAATTCTTCTCCATCTTCCTCCTTTCCTCCAAATTGCTTCTCTGCCTCTGCTTTGGCTGTGTCTTATAGTTGAGCTTGGCCTTCCCTCCATCACCTTCCATCTTTGCTGACTGTTCAAAAAAAGAACAATTGTGTTGCATCTAACTAAGGTTTGTTGACTCCAGTCTCCTTCTCCCCTTGATGTTCCAGGATGGTCAAAAACTCTGAGATGCCTGCAGGTTCTCTCCCTTGCTATTTACCCCCAATAGCAGATACTCAGTGTAGGCTATGTCTAGGGGCCCTGTATAGCCAATTTTGACTACCCCTTTGCATATCTCCACTCAAATTCCCCTTCCTCCATGAATTTATCTACTCCTATTTTAGAACAATTGAAGTTTCTGGCTGTCGTCTTGAGATGGTGAAATTTTACATGGATATTTCCTTGGGTGAAGATTTCTTCCGCCAACTTCAAACAGGTTAACCTAGTAACCAGATGAGATCAGAATCGGGAAGAGAAACTTCTTTTTCTGCTTTTTCCCCACACGCTGCACAGTTTTTAAAAACCTCTTAAAATATTTCATTTTAGTTGCATTCCCCCTAAAATGCAATTCTCATCTTCATTCCTATTTGTGCACTATTTCCAAAGTCCCACGCTTGCCTCCCTCCCTTGAAATCCCAGAACATAATCCTGCAGGCCTTCTTCTCTGTTCCCAAATCCTCTGTGATGTTTATCATCTTTCTGTTGCTGATATTTTCTCCACTGGTTTGGTGGAGATCCCATGAAATCACATCCTTTCCCTCTTTTCTGCTTTTCTTTCCCTTCTTTTGCCCTCCACCCTGATTTCTGTTGCAAGCATTTTAAAGAGCGTTCACATTAAATGAAAAGAATCCCCCCCCCCACAAATCTAGGGGCAGATTGTCTGATCCCAGTTTTGCTTTCTGCAGCTCCATCATCCATCCCAGGGTTTTCGTTTTGGCACCGTCTGGGAGAGCAGCGCAGAGGAGTATATCAAGAAGAGTTTCCCAGACATGCATGAATACATAAGGCGGCACAGTGTCCCTACCACCCCTGCGGGGGTCACAATGCTCAAGTAAGAACAATCTTGGGGAGGAGATGCTGGTGTTGTGGTTGATTGGCCTCTGTTCCAGTTCTAGTTCCTGCCTTTTGTGGCCACTCATCTCATTTCAAAAGCTTTCTGGAGGAGACCACTTAAAATATATGGAAATATGTTTCTTCTTAAGGACATGCTCAGTTGGTTAAGAGGGGGCTAGGATAATTCCTTTCTCCAGTCATCTGTGTTGTGCTAACAGGTAGAAGAACTGCAAGATGTTGGACTGGCCCTGAGAGTTCTAGTGTCCCGTCAGCCATGGAAGCCCCCAGAGGACTTTGGGCCAGTCCCTCTCTCCCAGCCCAACAGCCACTGTGGTCTAGTGGTGAAGGTCCTGAACCAGGAACAGGGAGATCCAGGTTCTAGTCCCTCCTCTGACTCTGGGCCAGCCCCTCTCCCTCAGCCCAAGAGCCATGGTGGTCCAGTGGAGAAGGTATCGGACGAGGAACAGGAGAACCCAGGTTTGAGTCCCCCCTTGGCCAAAGAAGCTCCTTGGGGGACTAGACCTGCCATTTTCCCTCAGCCCAGCCCAGCCCACCTCACAAGGTGGTTCTTGCAGGGGAAAAGGAGAGAAGGAAACACTGCATGTATCACCTTGAGCTCCTGAATAAAAAAAGATGGGATATAAATTGCAACCCTCAATTAAAAAGAAAAAAGAGGCCGGTCTAGGCATTCTGTCTCTATTATACTTTCCACCTCAACACCCCACTGCCACACCGGGGGGGGCGGGCGATGGGTTACCATCCTCCCCCCAACTGTCCACAGCTTACCAACTTGATGGGGCCATTGTGGATGGTTTTGTTGCTGCTCTGGAGGAGGAAAAACTCCGAAAGGGGAACTCTCTCAACTTCCTTGCGTTAGTTGGGAGGACGTGGACAATAGCTCCTCCCTTTTCGTCGGGGCATTGGCGATTGTTGCCCCTGGCACAGGTTGGCAAAGGGGTTCCTTACCTTGCCAAGCAGCGGACTTTTGCTAGATGTCCAAAGGTTGGTTTATTTCTTTTGCTAGACACCCAAAGATTTGTTTGTTCATTTATCTTGCTAGACTTCTGTGCCGCTTCAATGGCCAAACAGCTCGGAGCGGCTTGTGGCTCTTCCCTTTCAAAACAGGATGAAAACAGCCCAACCCCATCACCTAATAGAGTATTCCTGTGCCCATATGGTTGTTCCAGTTGATCAAACGGATTGACACTTTTCATTTAGACAAAGCGACTGATAGGTTGAAGTATAACCCGAAAGAGAAAATATAGTCACCTTAGGCAAGTGATTTACTCCCTCCCAAATACACTAAACTCTTAGCTCAGCCATAAAGCAGCTGGAATGGTCTGCAGATGGACTGGGAAAGGATCCCAGGAGGCAAACATAGGATCGGGGAAGCAGTATAAGATAAAGTAACCAGGTTTATGAAATACAGCCTCTTTGTTCTCCCAAAACTGCCATTGTCTGTGAAGTACTGCCCCATTAGCTCATAGTTCTAGCTATTTCATTGAATGTAGGACGTGCTCTGTCCAGCTAAATACTTTGCTGCTGTATCCAGGGACATCTAAATTCTAATTTGCGTTCTACTGTCTATAGGAGGGTAGCATCCACCGCCTGCTTTTGGCGTGTCTGGCCTCCAGTATCAAAAACAAACCAGTTGGTGCTTCAGTGGAGTTGCGTGCTGGTCTCCGGTCCCAACGAACCCCTCCCAATTCTCCTACAACTGCAAGGACCATTTCCTGCTCCCCTGTTTCCGGAGCCAGTGAATTGGAGAAGCAGCAGGGCAGGACCAAAGGTCCCTGTGCTGGAGACAGTGGGAAGGATGTGAGAAGAAGGCCGTGTCCATGATGCAGAAAGAGGGCTGTGTTAGTCTAGGGTGGCAAAGACTCAAGAATCTGGCGGCACCTTTTCTAACGCGTTTTATTCGAAGGCATCGGCTTTCGTGAGCAGCAGCTCCCTTCATCCAATGCATGGCGTGGCTAAGCTGATGGAGGATTTAAATTGGGTTGAGGGGAAAAGGTGGAGAGGAAGGTAGATTTTGTGCGTGTTACGCAGGTTACACGTGAGACAGATTACAAGGATCTTATCCATTATAATGTGTGAAAACCCCACTGTATTGGTTGAGACAATGCCACTGATATTTGTTCTTGGGCCTCTCTAAGTCTTAAGAAAGCAAGACAGGTAGTCCTCATTTAGCAACCGCAAAGGGTTCCAGCAACTCAGTCATTAAGCAAAGTGGTTGCTAAGTGAAAATCATGTGACCGTGACTGTGCTTAAGATTTTACTTCAGCTTTCCTTAGGAGGCAAACCAAAGCCTTCAGTGTGATTAAGGTCTTGTCAGTTTCAAGCAGCAGCTGCCAGCTGGCTGGAGAGTTCTATTCAACTAATTAAGGTCACAGAGCTAAGTTTGTTTACTTGCCCTTAGGACTTTTTAGGGAAGTGTTGTGCTGTCCAAAAAAGCAGCTCAGGAAGAGATTGCTCATTTAGGCAATCTTTCTGCTCTGTGGGGGGGGAGGGGGGAGGAAAAAACAGGTCAGGCACAGGGCAATGCCTACTAACTGGTTGTACAGGTAGTCCTCAGTTAACGACCACTCATTCAATGACCAAAGTTCTGATGGCACTGAACAAGTGGTGGTTATGACCAGTCCTCAAAGTTCTGGCCATCCCAGCACTCCCGTGAGCACATGATCACGATCTGGGTGCTTGGCCTCCGGCTCGCATTTACGACAGTTGCAACATCCCATGGTCACATGATCACCATTTGTGACCTTCCCTACTAGTTTCCCACAAGCAAAGTCAATGGGGAAGCTGGCAGGGAAGGCTGCAAATTGCTTGGGTAAGTCTTTCCTACCCACGCACCCTCCCCAAGCCTTGCACTTGCACCGTGCCTCCCCAGCCACTTGCACATCCTTGCTCACCCTCTCTCACCTGGCAGTTGCCACCCCAAGCCCCGCCTCGCTTGTGCCATGCCTCCCCTGCCACTCGCACACACTCACGCAACCTCTTCCACCTGGCAGCAGCCACCAAGCCCCGCTGCACTCACCCTGCACCTTCCCAACCAGCACAACCCCTCACTCCCTCTCCCACCTGGCAGCAGCCACTTCCTTTGCAACT